GAATGCAGTATTTATTTCCACTTTGATTTCATGTTGTTTAGTTTTTATTCAAGTAGATTTTTGTTAATGGAGACTGAGAATCCATTTTATTTTTGTTTATTTTTTATCAGTTCCAGTGTTTAGTGTTCTTTTGAAAATAAAGTGCATCTATCTTTGGCAGGAAATTGCATGCATTATTAGTCATTTCCATTAAATCAGTGTCAAAAGGTCTAAACAATATTACTGTTTATCGCGATCATTTTTGAGACAATTAATCGCTCAGCAAAATGTGTTATTGTGACAGGCCTAGATAGATGTGTGTTGAGACCAGTGTTGAGCATGTATGGTTATTGTTAATTTCTTAGCTATCTCAGTTTAAACATAATGAAGTACTAAGACTTATAAAATGCAGTCACCTTAGGTTCATGCTTTCAAAGAAGTGGTGAACGTCTCACTTTTCTTTTTATTCTGTCACATATCACACATTGTTTCTCTTTGTTTCTTTAAAGGGTGTGAAGCGGTTTGATGCCAGGCAGCTGGTTGTGAATGCTCTTGTTGAAAAGAAACTTTTCAGAGGAAAGAAGAATCACACCATGACTTTACCCATCTGCAGGTAGTAGAAAAGACACGACGCTCAACAGAGTCTGAACATTTGTCTGGATTTATTACTGCTGACATGAAAGCTGGTCCTGAGACAGTGCTGCCTTGTCTCAGAAGATCATCAAAAGCATTGGTGCCAAGCTGGTGAGGTAGAAAGTTTAGATGTTTCTTTGCTGAACCAAATATTGACGTGAAAAGAAGGTCTTTGAAAAACTTCACTGCATGCTAAGGGAGGCAGTAAAGGCAATTCTTTCAGTTGTCTATAATCAGGGACACAGAGCTGCAGGACGTCCCTCCCCTGATCTAAACACTGAGGTGGCACAACAACAAGATAATTATTTGTTAGTGTCTTCAAAATTAGAAGATAACACACATTTCCCTACAACTTGGTAGCACTGCTTTTGATTAAGTTAACTCGGGTCAGATGTTTTGGGTTTCCTTCTACAAGCTTTTCTACTAGTTTGCTGGATTTCTGACTCATTCCTCCTGACAGAACTGAGATATCAGGTTTGCAGGACGCCTCACTCACACACACCTTCTCTGATCTGCATAGGGCTTTCTGATGGCCACGCTAAAACATTGACTTGGTGTCACTTTGTAACCAGTTTGGTTGAATGCCGAGTTTGATTTTGTAAGCTTTAACTTCCTGGCTAATGTCTTTAGATGCTACTTCAACATGTCTCTGGCATACAAGCCTTATTCTACCAGATGTAACAATGGCCATTTTGGAAAACACTTCCACTTCAGCTTCATCAGACCACAGGGCATGTCTCCAAATATGAATCTGCATTTTTTATGTTTGTTTTGAAGTAATGTCTTCTTCCTGGCAGAGTGACCCTTCGGCCCACTTGTTTCACTGTGGATGATGACTCTGTCTTCACAGCTTCAGCTAGCATCTATACAAAGGCTTTTGTTCTGGGGACAAATAGAAAATGTTCTAGCTAAACTTGCTCCTCTTTGGGATGCAGAACCAATCTCTTTCCTAAGTGATATGATGGTTGGACAGGGTCAAACAACCAGTTGACTCAAACCTATCAGAAGTTTCCAAAGCCATGACATCATCATCTGTGCTCTCTCTCATTATTTAGAGAGAGTAATCCTCTGTGAAGACATTAATAGATAAATCTCTGACATATTGTTTTTCTTCTTATTGTGGGATTTAGTAAATATTTGCAATTGTGGCTGACCAAAAACAAGAGAAACTTTATCAGATCATAACCTCACTAATGCGATAATGCCCCTAACTTTTTGTGCCTATTATTTCCTCTCCTCTGATTCCCAGTCGCTCAGGAGACATCATTGAACCACTTCTAAGAAAGCAGTGGTTTGTCCGTTGTGACACAATGGCTATGAAAGCAATAGAGGTAGGTTTGTGGATGTGAAACGCTGATAATTTACTAACCCTCTGATGATTATGGTTATGGTAATGAGGTCTTGGCATTCTAATGTGAAAGTCTTTACAAACATTTAACATTCAAATATTAAAAAGAACGATTTGTGCTGGCAGGCTGTAGAGGATGGGCAATTAGAAATCATCCCTCACTACTACACCAAGATGTGGAAGAACTGGCTGTCCAGCATCAGGTGGGATGTCCTGATTTTTAAGTTTGATGAACTTCAGTACACATGTGGAAAACATTATCTCTGTGTGCAGAGGAAACGGTTCCACTCTGATGGTAACTGAATAATTCAACACCTTGTTTGTTTGCTATTTACGCTACAGTGACTGGTGCGTATCCAGGCAGCTTTGGTGGGGTCATCAGATCCCTGCTTACCAAGTACAGCTTCCCAATTCAACAACTGAAGAAGAGGTTGGTCTGTGATTTGTTATTTGGAAAATGGCACTAATGCATTGTATTGAGATTTAGCCCACATTCACACAGAGAAAACAATAGCTTTGTAAAAGCTGTAGTAATGTTTGTCTGTGTTAACAGTATAATCCTTTGCCATATTTCTGTCTCCTGCTGAGTAACTGTTACTTTGTTTGTGGTAGGAGCTTTGGGTTTGGGGGAGGAGTGAAGAGGAGGCCCGACAACGAGCCGCTGTAAAATATGGAGTGAGCCCAGAACACATCACTTTGCGACAGGGTAACATCCTTCATTGCATTTATTAGATTAGATTATTGAAGGATTTTTCTTTTTCTTGGTTCTACCTCTTATTCCCTGTTTCTACTGAATTCGGCGCTCCGCCCCGTTTTGTCTGTTTCCATTGTAAAAGCAACAGACAATGGAATGGTTTCACCCAGCAATAGGCTGGGAGGGGGTCTATTGCTGGGCGCCCTTCACTTGTAGCCCCATAGGACAGACGGCAACGTTAGGCCAACACTTCTTGTGTCACACAACACAGGCTATTGGGGGGATAGAAAAATGTCGCTGCTTGTTAACAAGCACAACACATCAAATCAAAAGAAAAATATTTGTACAGCACATTTCAGCAGCAAGGCATTTCAAAGTGCTTTACATCATTAAAAACTAAAACACTGAGTCATGTAACACTGAATAAACAATAAAAGAAAAACATTAAAACCCCTTTTCTAACCCTTAGGACTTTAGTTAAAACGCCGTCAACTGGGACTCTGTATTGGACTGCTACATTAAGTGAAGTTTAACAGCTTGATGAAAAGCATGCTGCTGTTTTCTTAATCCTTACTGTTCTCACTATGGGATTAATCTCTGAATCAGACCCAGATGTTCTGGATACGTGGTTCTCCTCAGCACTGTTTCCTTTCACCATGCTTGGCTGGCCAGAAAAGGTACTTAACAGAATTACACCTACACTCCTGAAAGCTCAGATCTCTCATGGAAATCCCACTTGTTACCAGACCCCTGACCTCCAGCGCTTCTACCCCAACTCTCTTCTGGAGACTGGCAGTGACCTCATCTTCTTTTGGGTTGCTAGGATGGTGATGTTGGGATCTGAACTGACTGGACAGCTGCCATTTAAACAGGTTGGTTTCGCAAGAATACTGAGTTGCTCAAAGCAAACCTAGTATTAACTGTGATGGATGAGGTGAATCGACTAATTCATTTATTTTTTCTTTCTGTCCTGTCTTTCAGGTTCTGTTTCACTCCCTGGTACGAGATAAATATGGCAGGAAGATGAGTAAATCTCTTGGAAATGTCATTGACCCATTAGATGTAATGCATGGAGCCAGTCTCCAGGTGAGACACATTCCTGACTCTAGACACACGTTGCTGTTAATATTACTCTTGTGTTTTTTCCTATATACCTTCAGAAATGTGTGACTATGCTGAAGGAAGGAAATATAATATTTTCTATAAAAATTAGCCACAAACAGCAATTTTATGCACTTCTAGGACTGCGTTTTCTTTTCCACTTGAGTGAATATAAATTACTATGTAATGATAACATGATATGATAACAGTGATTGTATATTGAGGTTATTCTTTACCATTTCTCTTAAGATGTTGTAAAGTAAAACTCATCTTGTTTTGTTTTTGTTCTTATAGAGACTTCAGGAGAAAGTGAAGGAAGGAAACCTCGATCCAAAGGAGCAACTAGTCGCTCTGAAAGCTCAGGTCCGATACTCTTCAGTCTGTTTGCCTGGCTGCGTGCAGTCATTGCTTTTTCTTACTTGTCAGATCTTTCTGCTTCCTACAGAGTTCAGACTATCCTAATGGGATACCCCAGTGTGGGACAGATGCTCTGAGGTTTGCCCTTTGCTCCCACAACATGCAGGGTAAGCTGCTCATCTCTTGTCTAGAGTCACAATTGAGGTAGTGTTACAGAAATAAAAAGCTGTTTTGACTAGAGAGATAAAGCCACGTTTTAAGGAAATAGTGAAAACCTTAGTCAGTACTTTCATTGGCTGACAGACAGGTGATGAATCTCTTCAGGTGAAGTGATGTATTTTGACTCTTGTTGGACTCTTTATCCAAAGAGGATCATAAAATATAGCAGCATAGCCTCAGTCCTAAGAAGTCATGTCCTTGAAAGCTCAGAGACACTCGATGTGCACGTCAATACACTCTTTCAGTTCCCATCCCCTATCTGTCTCTAAAAGGATACTCCACTTATTTCACTACTTTCATTCATGAAATAGCAGCTATCAAGCCTGTTATTTATTCACTTGTTCATTTAGAGGTTTTGTGAAAAGAATGTTTCTTAAGTACACACCTTTCAAACTTCAAATGGGTCACAAGAGATTGACTTTTACTAAAATTTAGTGTTTTAATATGTTTTGTCATTGTCCAGAACAAATGAGCCGAGGCTCTCGGCTCCTGGCTGCTATGGTGTTTCTTCTCTTCTCACCATTGCAACATTTTGCAATTTCAAGTGACAAGCAAGCACATGCATGCGTACAGACACAGGGTACAGACAGTCTTTGAGCAATTGCTCAAAGATTGCAACAATGAGCAACAATTGCTCATTGTTGACATTGTTTTGCTGTGTGTTCAAACAGCACGCATCACAACAACTAATCCAAATGGTTAAGGGTCATACAAACACAGTCATTTTAAGTTATGAAATCATCTGCAGATTTTCTTTTCAAAGCCTCCCTGTCACTTGTTCACAACCATCTTCTCTGTAAGAAATGGCTGAAGAGAGCACAACAGCACATGTGGGAAATTCTTATCCCCAGATAAAATGTATAAGTCTGAGCATGCAGCCAGAAAATCCTCATGTGTAAATGAAAAGTCTGTTAATCCTACATTTGCTCATAACTCCACACTGATTGGCTTTGGCACACAATGCCGTCTGGATTTCATTTTGCTGATGCAGCTTTCTTAATTTCAGTTGTGGTTGGTTCAAAGACACAACGTGACTCCATGTTGTTTTAAAAAGACTTTTTCTGGCCACCTGTGTGTCTCTAATTTGGAAATTTTGGAACAGTTTTCTTTAAAATGTTTCCCATTGTTCATTTTCATTCTTTTGGATGCCTTTACATTTTGAAACTATGATTTAATGTACACTATATTGCTTACCTTTATGCAAACCTGCATTAAAAATTGTTGTAGTTTCTTTTTGTACAAAATATTGTTTCTTGTTTTGTTTTTCAGAACTGTTTATCGTAGATGAAACTGTATTCATCTTTGTGTAAGGACAACTTGGTGCACAAATGTCCATTTGCATGAAACGACTTTAATGTCACGAGGAGTTAAGACATACACAATATAAAGTTTGTGCTTCCTTAATGACTAATAAATATATGTGTCTGTTTCTTCATTAGGTGGACCCATTAGTTTGTCCGTATCTCAAGTTATTCTCTTCAGAAACTTCTGTAATAAGATGTGGCAGACCCTGAGATTCACGCTGGGAGTTGTTGGTGAAAACACACCTGTGGGAACACTTGAAGAGGTACGGTGATTTCTAAACTTTGTGTTTATGTCACCTAATGTCAGTCATTGTTCCTGTTTTCCTCCCCCTTGTGTTTGGTTGCTGAACATGTTAAAAAATTATATTGACCAGAGCAACAGCAATTTGTCTCAACTATCAATGGAAGTGTCTATCATTTGTACTATAAAAGCTCCGTTCCCGATGTGGTAATCTGTTGATCAATACTTTGTTTACCAAGCAAAAGGGTTTTCATTGGCAAAAGACTAAGAAAGAAAGAGACTGCTGTGTGTTTTCAGGCTTTTAAATATTTTTTGGTTTCTAAAATGGAAATATGTAAATTTAAAATGCATTTGAGACTTTTCTTCAACACACTGAGTAAATGGAGACATTTTAAGACGATGCTTTCAACTGTTCAGCAGTTTTAGAGAGAACCTACAATTTGAGATTGAATTTAGTCTTAGATGTGTTATTTTAATGGTTACTGTAACAGTTATCAAGCATGTTCAGCATATATTTTGAGAACATCTCTCAGCAGCACAGGGGGATTCACAGGCCGAAGAGGAGCGAGAGGAGGTGGGGGAAGAAACTCTGATAACTTTTATCTGAGAGGCAAGAGAGAATATGATCTGTTCTGTTTTACATAAAACCTCTTATGCTAGGTAATAGAAATGAGGAAAAGTTTCAAAAAGACGCAGCATTTCTGAAAATGGCCTCTAAAACGTTCAGCCACTGATGTACTGGTGAATTCAAACTAGACGATCAGATCTCATGCACATATTTTCTCTCTCTTGTGTGTGAAGTGGATGTGCTGGATTTTGCTCATTGATACTTTTGTAATTCCTCGTTACCTTCTAATTCTCATTCCTCCATCTTGCCTGTGTCTATCCATTCCATTGATGGACACTGAATGGATAAAAGTCAACTGGGAGCGAGATGGAGCTGATAATAACCTTTGTGCTAACATTGCCTTCAGAGTGTTTCTCCTTTTCCTTCTTTTAGACAACTCCTCTGAACAGCATGGAGCGGTGGATCTGTTCCAGACTCTACAGCACAGTTGTGCAGTGTGAGCAGGCGTTTGAAGCTTATGAGCTGCATAATGTCACATCTGCTCTCTTCTCCTTCTGGCTGTACAACTTGTGTGATGTTTACCTGGTAAGGAGCCGATTTTCATACGGGAGAACAGGTCTGTCTTATTGTGACGATCAGAAACGGGTGAATGGAAATGACTGTAACTATGTGAGGTACAATCTACCCTGTTGTTTGAGCTTTGCTAAGCTAAATACAGGGTGTGGCTAATGAAGGCATATTTATACGTTTCATATTCAATCTTGGTAGATTTCAGCTTCTGTTTCCACCCACCCACCTGTTCATTCATTGATTCATTCATTCATTCATTCATTCATTCCTCCCTCCACTTGGGGAAGGGCATCCTCCCCGACCCGGAGAAGGCTCTCAGATTTGGAGGCACTGATCCCCATCCCAGCTGCTTCACGCTCGACTGCGAACTTCTCCACTGAAAGCTGTAGATCACGACCAGAACGGATCCCCTCCACACGTTGGCTGCACCTACAAATTCTGTCCATAAAAGTAATGAGCAGAATCGGTGGCAGTCGAACTCTCACCAGAAATGAGCCCAACTTACTGCGGTGGTCTGACTATCAGTGCTACCTCGTCAGATTTTCCTACCGTAGCACGGATTGATAGCTAAGTCTGTCGGTGCTACCCGTCTAAACCTGCTGCCGTCATGTTTAGAAACAGAAAACTGCAGCAGGTTGTGTTAATGTTAAATACATTGGATAACATTGTTTGAGTGGAAGCTGAAGTTATGCTTAGTTTAACATTGGAACAATTTATATACATGAGGAAACCACAAGGAGATCACTTCCTTTATCTGAATATCCTACCCGTTTAAAATGAAAAGCTATAGATGTAATAATCACTAATTCTTTTACTAGAATATCCTACCTGTTAAAAATATTTTAAATACAGAGGCGTTGGTAAGAGTAAAACAGTATCAGACGGGAAAACAGGTTTTTATTGGAATTAAAGACTAATACAGATCACCACAACTCTTTTTTGCGCATTAAGACGATGTATGTCTGTTATCAGATCCACAATGTGTTTACCGAGCTGCGCAGGTCACTGTGCTCCTGAAATGATAGGATATGATTAATATTACACAGCTTTAGTCCCACATCACTACCAACATCTATTTAGCAAAGTTTAATAATAACAAAATGTGTAAGGGACAAAACAGCCCACAAAACAACGTATTTTTTCCTGATTAACCGCCAAACAATGACTTGTTTACAGACATTACAGACGGCAAACTAAAGCCATTATATTTACAAGCTGCCTGTCATGTAAACTAAAAACATGAAGTAACACAGCAGCTTCATGAAAGCCAGGTATAAAATAGATTAAATAAAGCTTACCGTAATCTGCGATGAAATAAAACACATGAAGCGAAACTTCCACAGGTAGGACGTATTTATAAGAAATCTGCTGAGTAAGCAGTATGTGACGTAGCATCGATGTGTATTACCACAAGGTGGGACGGATTTACGGGTAGCACAGATCAACAGAACACCGGAAACGTGGACCAGACTCTGACACCAGTCGTACAGAAACCTAACGGCTCATATCAAAGGGCCCGGTACTCCGTACTCCCAGACCCTCCCCAGGGCTCCCTGAGGGACACGGTCAAGTACCTTCTCCAAGTCCACAAAACTCGTGTAGACCAGTTAGACGAACTCCCAGAACCCTCCAGGACCCTGCTGAGGGTGTAGAGCTGGTCCAGCGTTCCAGGACAAAACCCACACTGCTCTTCCTGAATCTGAGGTTCGACTATCCGCTGGAACCTGAGTAGACCTTACCAAGGAGGCTGAGGAGTGTAACCACTCTGCTTCTGTGTCCAAACAGAGTAATATCGACCAGTTACAGATGTGTGTGCTTAGCTTGAAAAACCCAGATTGATAACTAATATTGTCATGGTTGTTGGTGAAGAATGCTGAGACATCTTGCTTTCCCTAAAAGTGGTACAGCAAACATGTTTCAGAATGACAATGTAACCTTTGTCGTTTCTGCGTTTCTGTCCTGAAGGAATCCGTAAAGCCGGTGCTGAAGCAGAATGAGGGAGTTGAGGTCCTGACAGACAAAGACCACAGCAGCAACACGAAGCAGGAGGCCAGAACGGTTCTCTATCACTGTGTGTCTTTGTCTCTGGCTCTGTTCTCCCCCTTCATGCCCTTCATCACCGAAGAGTTGTGGCAGAGACTACAACCATTCAGACCCGGAGCCACGGCCCAAACCAGCTTGTGTTTGCAGCCCTACCCCCGATCCACTCAGCTGGTAAAACTTTGATTATTTTTCTTGCCTCAAAATCAATACTTAGATTTTACATGGTTCACATAATATATTTATGGTTGCAACAGAGTTTATCTCTGCAGCCTGGGAGGATGCAGTGATATGGAACAGTTTAAGTCAGTGCTTTGGCATTTAGCAAGCAATAATAAGGTTTAATCTGATCTAATGTTATGCAGTGAGACAAAACATCTTTTTCTACAGTGCATGCATGTAAATATGTAGTTCAACTGTTTTCTTATTTAACTTCTCCAGGCTCACTGGTATTTTCCTGAGGAGGAGAAAGATTTCCTGCTGGTTCAGAATGTTGTCCGAGTGGCACGTTTTCTGCGAGCCCAGTGTGGCCTAGTTAAAGAAAGACCTGTCAGTAAGTCAACAGATTAATAATCATGTAACATTGACATGTCTGGTTGATTGCTTGCACTTGTACATGTAAACCTTGGTATGTTTTAATTCAAGCCCTTCCTGAAGAAGGGTAAAATTCAGTAGCTAATATATCTGCATGTTGCTTGTACATGGTTTCAGTGTGGGCCGTGTGTTCACCAAGCCAGGCCCAGACACTTCTTCGCTTTGGCTCAGCTGTTTGGACTTTAAGTCAAATCTCAAGCCTCCAGATCTACTGTCCAGATCAAGATGGCCACCTTCCCTCCGTCCACTCCACTGCTCCACCTGCAGGATGCCTCGTTGGTGTGGTGGACCACACATGTCAGCTACACCTTCACATCCAAGTGTGTATCATATTCATCCTGATGTATCTTATGTTATATAAACTTTATTAAAGCTACAGCAATCAAGCTCTTTGTAATGACCAAACAGCTTTTTGCATGGTTGAGCTGCTATTTTGTTTATTTATCTTGGGTGTTGAACTCTGCCTAGTCAAAGTCTTCAGTGACATCCATATAAACAGACTGTTGTAGAGCCACAGTGCTGGTTCTGTTGGACCTCAGTGCAGCTTTTGACACTGTTGTCCATGACATATTAGATTTTGAATCTTACATAAAGAACAGAGATTTCTTTGTAGGAAACTTCTCATCAAAGCAGACAGAAGTCACATGCGGGGTACCCAAAGGTTCTTTCTTAGGACTCCTCTTATTTAATATCTATGCTCCCACTAGCTAAGGTAGAACAGGAGATAGGATTAGCTTCCATAACTATGCAGATGATGCAAACATTACATTAGATCTACATCATGATGTCACCAGGTGACTCCAAACCCAGTTAATCACTGAACAGATGCTTAGAACAGAAACATGTGTGGATTTGCCAAAACTTTCTCCAGCTGAACAAAAGCAAAACTGAAGTTATCATCCTTGGATCTAAAGAGGAACCATCTAGAGTCAGTGCACAACTTCATTGATTCTAGATCTAAAACCAGCAGTCAAGCCTGAAATCTGAGTGTAGTGATGAACTCTGACCTGAACCTTCAGAGCCACATAAAGACAGTTCCAAAGTCGGGCTTCTGTCATCTGAAGAACATCTCCAGGATTAGAGGACTAATGTCTCAGTGAGATCTACAGAAACTCATCCATGTTTTATCTTTCGTCGCATCGGTTACTGCAACAGCGTCTTTACAATGACTACATTTTGGTTTATCTTAGCATTGTTACTCATTTTCAGCATCTGTTTCGCTGATTCATGTCAGATCACAATGCTGGGTTCCAACAGATGGGCACACTTTGGCAGGCCCCTTTTGAATTTCTTAGGAAGTTTTCTAGTTGGACTTTCTTGTCCATTCATCCATCCATAACAACCTTATTGACAATGGGTGAAGTGAAGGATGGTGCTTTTCTCTAGCGGGCGAGAGGCAGGGTCACCCTGGACAGGTCACCAGTCCATTTCAGGACAACCAATCATGCATTTACACACCCACATGTAAATGCATGATTTACGTGTGGGTGTGACTGATTGACTAAATCAATCAGTCAGGTTGATTGATTTAGAGAGATCAATCAACCTGCCAGTCATGTGTTTGGACTGTGAGAGGAACCTGGAAGACCTGGAAAGAACCCACGCCTGCACAGGGAGAAGGCAGGACCTTCTTGCTGCAAGGCAATGGCGCTAACAGCTGCACCGCTTTGTAGCCTAGAATTTATTGTGACAACGATAAATCAAAATTGATATTGTGATAAAAACATTATCACAATAAATGACAATATGAATATATGCCCACCCCTCTGTGTTACCATATGTCTACAGAGATTCTCTGATTGATTGTTTTTATTTTTATTTTTTTAGAGTGCAGTTGACATTGAGCAACTGATCCGGCATCTCTCTCAGCGGAAAGATACGCTTCTTCCAAAGCTGGAAAAAAGTCTTTGCAAACTTCAGTCTTCCAACAATCCAACCAAAACTCCAGCAGATATCAGACAACGGATGGAGAATAAGGTGAGCAAAAAATCCACTTTGTCTAAATTGGGTTATTTTATTTTCTTACGGTCTTAATAAGATTTGCCTAATTCTACAGAACAGGAAAATTTGACAAATAAAATGTAAGATGTTAGAATTAAATTGTTGTGCATTTATTGGTTAAGATATTAGTTTCTTAGCATCTTCTAAGTTTGAATAGCTAAAGATTAAAATTATTTTAAAAACATTGGTTTTGATGATACTAATGCCAAATAACAGTGAATGGAGTCAGCGTTCAGTGTACTTAGGCGGGTTCTGGTGCTTCGTAGTTTATTGTCCACAGAAAAGTTTTGCATGGCCGCCTCACATTTTCAAGAAGAAGCCAATCAGTTCCTGAACATTTACTGTCGCGTTCCGTTCATTTTTAATTGATTCTAGATCTAAAACCAGTCGAGTTGTGGGTACAACTTTGCGCCACACATTTTTTGTGTGTGCACAACGTTTGAGGCCCCGGGTGTTTTGTCATTTTCTTGGCATCTAAAACCCTAAACATTAAAACTATTTGTTTTCTATCGTGTGAGCATGTCTGTACTTGAGTTGTGATTGTGGTAACAGTTCATTTTATGTATATTCTATCACCTTGTCTGTTCAGGTTTCAGTTTTGCAGCAGGAATTAAAGACCATTGAAGATCGGATAAAAGTTCTTCAGGAGACGCAGTCAAAGGGATAACTACAGCTGAAGGACGTCCTTGGAGACATCAGAGCTTGTCTATTTGTTGATACCGCTGCTTGAGTCAAAGATGTCTAAAGCATCTTGCCTTTCAGTACTGTAAAATACACCAAGAAAATTATGGGTTTTGTTAAGAGAATAAATTATGAAAACTTCTGGCTCGTTGTGTTCTCTCGTCATCAGGGTGATGGATTCTGTATATAGTGGCTCCATTTATACACTCCAGAAAGTGGTGGAGGAAATACAATCAACTACACTCTGTAACGAAGAAGCTCAAGGCTGGTCGAATCAACACGCAGCATCAATCCCAAAAGGTGCAATGGCTGCTGGATGCTGGATCCTTTTTTATTCAGCTTCTCAGGTATTTGTCAAATCAAGCTATCAGTCATTCCTGCTTCAATCATACTCTGCCAGTAGGTATCCCCCAGAGTGAAGGAAGTTTCAGCACTCTATAGTTCTGATCAACATTTTGGCTCAAAACTTCATTTCACTGGATGACTTTGAACAAAATGTCTCATCTCTTTTCCAAACACTATTAATCCGTGTTTTACTTATGAGGCTCTAAGAACAAATCTGAGCAGCCTCTCTTACATGCTACCTTATGTCCATCTATGTTTAGTTTTCCCATAGCAACATTTAAAGTTCATTGTACATGAATGTGCAAGAAAATTAAAGCAGCTGCAGTTAAAAAAAACCAGTCAAAGTTGAAGCTAATTCTTGTGGCTAAGCAGGCATAGACATGCAGAAGGATCATTTTGAATTTGCACTTGTTGATTTCAAGCACTGAAAATTAGGAGATATCCTGTACTGACAGGGTGCGCATAAAGTTAAACCCCTTGCAAAAGAAAACAATTTCTTCACTCTTGATCGTTATATAGCTAATTTAAGACAACATGCCATAAATTTGCCCTGTTCTGGTCTTTCACACTCAGTGTTTCCAATTTGTTCATGTCCATGTGGTAAAGAAAATAATTTGAATTAAAAAAAACTACCTGATTGATCAAGAGAACTCTGTTTTGTTTATTTCCAAGTACTTGCACATTTCTGTAGAAAAATGGTTTTCCACATTTTTAACAAGTGTCCATACTCCCATTTGACATTTGTATTATTTTATTTCCCTTTGGGATTAATAAAGCAGAGCAGCAGCTTTAATTCAGACGACAGAAAACCGACTCAGAACGTCTTCAGGGAAACTTTCAAACTCAAACCCATCGTTTCTCCCAGTTCCATCATTTCCAAGGAAAAGTTTGGATTTTTTCCAACTGTGTGGCCGACAGTTATTGATCACTTATTAATCAACAGAGTAAAACATCTGCAGGTTGTGTTTGCTGATGTGATGATCCCATTCTCTGCAGCTGGGATGAACTATAATGGGAAACTAAACGTCACACTGCGCTGTGCAAAAGGAGCCTCAAAACGGCCTAGTCAAAGCTCAAACCAAAATCCAACTAATAATCTGTGGGGGAAAAGATTGAACATGATGAGAGTCTCTGAATCTTTGAAGCAGTGAGGTTTGATAAGTATGAATACATGCCACGTTTCAGGACGTTTATTGGTAAAAATAAACGAGAGATTTTCTTCCACTTAGAAATTTTTATGCTCCGTTTGTCTGGAGCGTAAAAATTTTATTTATTCCAGTAAATACTGGGATGTTAGTAAAATACACCAAAGTTATTTGATGCAAAATGTGTGAAGATCATGAAAACTACCAGACCTGACATTTAAAAACGACTGATTTCTATTGGTTTGTTAATTGGTCGGGTCTTTAATTGGTCGGTTTGGTTCTTCCAGTCGAACTGCAGCTGGTTTCTGACGTCCTGCTGCTTTTTTCTCTCGTGAAAATCAGTTTTGTGCGTCTCAGTTCGGCTTTCGTCGCAGTGATCCCGAGGCTTGTCGATAAGAATAATCTTTAACTGCTTCCTAAGAGCCTCTTCACGCCACGCTGCTCTGCCGTCCCGTGCAACATAGAGCTACACACACAGATCCGCTCCAGTCTTACAGCCTGAATCCAATTACAGGCTTCAAAGCTGCAGAGGGACAGGAGTTGCAGCAACCTGTTGCTGTGGAAGCGGTGGATGTGGGCGGGTCAGAGAACAAACAGAGACCAGAGCAGAGCGGCCGGGTTTCTGTCGGAGCCCCCGGCAGCAGCAGTGGTTCGGCCCGGCCGGCCTGGTGGGACCGGCCAATCAGCTCAGAGCAGGCGCTCCTGTCTGTCCCTCTCTCTGGACATGTTTGCTGAGACGAGATAAGCCTGCAGGTACTTCCTGCTTCATCAGATGAAGGAGAGCAGCAGGTTTTCTTCCGCGCTGGGAATCAAACGCGACCAAAAGGTTTGCAGAACTTTTTAAAACTCAAAGGTCCTAAAGTAGAAGAGCTCAGCTTTCAGATGGTGTAATGTGTCTTGTTTCCTGATGCGTGTCGATTCGGGGTTAATGTTTGGGCCTGTTGCTCGGTTACAGGATCTTCATCACTCTGTTAAAAGTCTGGGCTGAAGCTGAAACTAATTTTATCTGTTTTAATAACGCCAACCTCAATAAAGTAGTTTTATCTAAACCATGACATCATCAAAACGTCTCTTAAAGGGGTCATGACTTAATAACCCTGATACTAAAGTTATTTAATATTTCCATATTTGGACTATCAAATGAACCAAGTTTTAAATAATTTGATATTTGTAAAAAATAAAAAAAATTAAAAAAACTTTTTTTTGTCATTACATTCAGAAGGAAGCAACATTTTTCCAGTGAAGCCCAGCTATCATTAGCTAGCATCGGCTAACTTCAGATTAATGACATTAAAATGTGAACAAGCTCAGTGGGACCCATCATGGCTGACATCCACATTCAGCCAATCAGCAGCAAGGAACGCGAACGCTGTTCCTGGATTGGCTGCCAAGTAGCTATGAAGCTTTCCAGCATTTTATCCAGAATATTTTCTGTCAATAATTTGAGTTTCCAGAACACGAAGAGGCGAGGTGTGGTGCTGGGAAGGTTCTGCTGCTGCAGGATGGGTTGGGGTCCAGTTCTACATTAGGATGGGTTGGGGTCCAGTTCTACATTAGGATGGGTTGGGGTCCAGTTCTACATCAGGATGGGTTGGGGTCCGGTTCTGCTGCAGGTTCTGGTCCAGCTGGGCCGCCTGTTGTTGCTGCTAATGCCGATAAGCCTGGCAGTGATGATGGAGGCACTTTGTGTTTGTGTCCATGGGGCCAATAGGGGCAGGAGGGGTAGTGGGGGGCCCCTGTGGGGGGCCACGCCCCACAGGCTGCTGACAATCAGGGTGATGAAAGAAATAAATCTGAAGCTTTTTGATCCAAATGCAGAAAATGATTAAACGAGTAAAAATTAACAATTTAAAGGTGAAACAAGAGCAGCGAAGAGGAGCGTAAATTTAGAGCAGAAAGTTGCTGAAGCGTTGCGATCTCCCTCCCTGCTCCCCTCACTGTCCTCTGCAGGGAAACAGCGCCACCTGCTGGCAGGTCACTCATGTTCAGAAACTTCAGCCTAGATGAGTAACAAGTCATGTGACCTCTGCTCCCCCGCAGGGCGACGATGAGAAAACACACACACACACATTCCTCTGTGTGTTTTCTCTGCTGACAAGCACACTGAGCTGGACGTTCAACTAAAGTACAAAATCTGCAGGTTGAGGAAACAGAAAGTCGATGGAATGTGACCGGCTGATTAAAAGCTTCACTCCTTCATCTCAGATTACATTTAAAGTCACAACATTCAGTCGTCCCACTCCATGGCAAGAGTTCACAACTCTTACTTTCATAACTTGACGTTATTCACGTTGTCCAGGATCCTCTTCGCTGCACAAACACTAGATTAGAGCGAGGACAGAAACTCCTCCCTCGTCTCAAATCCCCGTTATAATCCCGAAGGAAATCTGCTGCACATAGCAAGGTGGTGAGGAAGAGGAGGGAGGAAGACTTCTGCCTGCTTTCTGTGGGGCCAGTGAGACCAGTGAGACCAGTGAGGCCAGTGAGACCAGTCTCTTAAGTGATTCTGGGATTGTTGGTAAGTTTGAATGTCACTTGAACTCTGCTGCTTGACACAGATGTGTTTTTCTTCAGGTTTAGAGTTTCTGGCCGTTCTCAGCAGCTTTTCTCATTTGGTAAAGTGAACCTTGTTGATCTGTAACCATCATTATGTTGATTCTTCCTCGTTTCAGTCGATTTTTCTCAACATTTCTTACCCCGCTGGCCAAGTGTTGTGATTAAATGACTCAGGTTAGCTGACCTGCTGCAGGTCATGATGCTAATGCTAATGCAAAGCCTGTGCTGACAAGGCTGAGTGTATTTGACCACTGTTAACCATTTTCTTTTGCTTATCTGACACTTTTCGGCGAACTGATAACGAATGTCTGGATCTTTCAAATGTTCAAGGCTGAAATGGTTTTGTTCTTGTTTTGCTGCTGAGTGGCCCAGGAGACTGGCTACACCAATTCCCACTTTGTGGATTAGCATAAGCTAATTTTCAGAACTTTATGTAAACATCAACAAAAGTAAACAGAAACAGCCCTCCCCAAATCAACAAGGAGCACAGCAGTGTCCACATAAAAACATACATACAGCCTACATACGCCAAACACAGACAGACAGACAGACATGGTTCAAAGTAGTCGAACTGTTGGACAGCCAAATGAGTAATACATTGAATGTAAGAAAAATAAATAAGTACATAACAAAGAGAGTGGAGAGGACAGTCCTCATCTCCAGTTGAAATCAGAGTCTCTGTTAGACTGCATTGGGCTCCAGATCCTCCAGAATCTGTTCGACTTTTGATGAAAATCACGAGTCAGTTTTTCAGCTGAGACAATAGCAGAGATTTGTGATATCCACATATCGACTGCAGGGGCCTGTGGTGCTGACCATCTCAGTAGTTTACATTTCTTGGCCAGAAATAAGAAACAGCAAATGTTTAGTATCTGCCTTAGGTAGAGAGTCTGGAGCGTAATTAAAAAGACAGAGGGACGGAGTTAGTGAGAACTATTTACTTCTCTTGGATCATCAGTTGAACAGCTTTCCAGAAAAATGTAATGCAATTGCAGACCAAAATAAGTGAATGAATGCGCCTCTATCTATTTTGCATTTATGATGAAGATCTGAAGCATCAGGAAACATCCTCCGAAGGCGAACAGGTGTATAATAAGT